GCTCCTGAGCACACACAAGCAGAAACCCCTTTGGTTGTGTGTAATCCCCCAGCTGGTGTCTATTAAACAACCACTCTCTAGCCAACACCAGAAAGAGCCGATGACACAAGAGTGGAAAAATTCATCTCTGCCAGTGTCATTTGAGGAGTCAGTCAATCCCAGGAAAAAGGAAGAATTTTATCCTAAAAGAAATTTGGCCTCTTTGTTTTAGTTACAGGAAATGACATGATGACTTTGAACATTACCTTATTTTCAGTTAACACCTTTCCCCAAGGAAAGACCACCCACTGCTGATTATTAAAACAATGGCTTCCTGGAAACGATGCTCTCCTGCTTCTTCTAAACGACTAACAAGACTAGTCCAGCATGGACTAGTATCAAGTTACCTGTGTAATTGTTCTCTTTGGGAACAGAGGGAGTGTGACATCCAGTACACTCACACAGGATGTGTGCATGACAACTATGATCTTTATCCTGTCTCGTACAGTTGGACAGTTGCTTCATTTTCCATCTTTTCCAAAAAAGATTGCATCACGCCCATCTCCACAATAGCCCCCTTTCTGGTCTGCGACAGGCTCCTCAGTGTCCTCCCTGCCTCGCTTTCATCATCTCATTTCATGACAATTTCATGACAATTAGCTACGAGCTGAAGTCATTCTTTGTACTGAATGACCTCGGCTTGCAGCCATTTCTGCAGATTCGAGCACAGGGGGGAAAAAAAAGATGTGTGTGTGTGATAGGCAGGTGGTTGCTGAGCTGCCCACTTCCTGTCTCTACCACACGCCACAGGAAATGAATTGTGTCCACACAACCTCTATATCACAAAACAGACCCACTGACCAACACGTAACCACTGATCTAATTTTATTTATTGTTAATAAAAAAATAAATTAAAAAAATCCCGCTGACTTGTGGGTTTGTGGAGGCAGCATATGAGGTCAGATTTCCTCAACTGTATGGAGAGTTTGGTCTTATGTTAAAAAAAGAAAAAAAAAGAAAAAAAAAGCACTTTTTGACCATAACTTAACTAGCGATGGAAAGGCCCGCTTCCTGCGGTGCAGACATTTCACATGTTTATCATCCTCATTAACTTCCTTATTTGATTGCACACTGTTGACTGATGCTATTCGTGATGAATGTGATGACAGAAAAGGGTTTTTTGGGGGGGTTGCATGACTTATTATTTTCCAAAGAAATAAAACAGGCAAGACATGTTCATCTAATTAATTGAAGTTCTTCACCAAAGCCCAGATGATCTGCAGCATTACTCGCTTTAATTAAAGAGGCTTATTATGCTCTTCCTTATTTATTTATTTTATCCTGTTATAGCAGTGCATACTCATATTTAACAAGGCCAAAGTTTCAAATGATGAGGTCAGTGTTTACACAGGTAATCCCAGTTGAGCAAAAGCTCAGACTGCTGTAAATACTGGGTTTCAAATCTGTTTTCTCCTCATGGTTCTTTATGATGTAATTGCCAGGGGATATCCCTAATATGGGCATTTCAGATACACAGCTCTGCCTGAGAAAGTTAGTCAATCAGAAGAAAGCTGACTGAACAGAACAGAGTCCTTGGAGCTAAAAGTGACGTTTTTTCAGCAAGCAGATGAACTGGGTGACAAATAAGATTGAGAATGTGAATTATTTTAAACTTGCAGTCGTGCAAAGTAACAATAGGAAATCAACTTTCATACTAGTATTTTGAAATTATCAGGTCAAATATCCACTTTATATCTGGCCTTTATCGTACTTGTGGTTCACACCGGTAGCTAATGCACTTTTTTATGAGAAAATTCTGCACCGTAGAGTATTGGCTGTTAAAATGTGCTGATATGAAAAAATTCCTTGAAATCTGCTTGCCTAAAAGGAGTTGACTTAACCACAAGCCCATCTTGACAAAATGTAATCAAATCTTTCCCAGAATAAGAAAATATTAATCACTTAGATTTACTGCTGCACAGCGTGCGTGTGTGGAGTTAAAGCGAAATTATGAATTATGTAGGCGACACATTGTTTACATTTTTAGCAGATGGCGCTTTGCAGTCTCTGGTCTAAATGTAGGTCAATTGAGTAACTTTGCTCCATTTTCTTCCACTGGCATAAAGCTGAGCTATAACTGCATTGGTCACAGGCAGGATACTCCAGGCGCCACTGTATGTAACAAAATATGAATTCTTTGATGTCCTGTGTGAGCAAGACCTTGCCCTATTTTTTCTAATGGCACTGAAGGAAGCAGGTGTGTAGGAGTATCATCACAAAGTCACTTCCTGGAACATTAACACAGAAGTTCCTAACTTTGCTCTGGTTATGGGATTTGAGAGCTGCTGATTCTGCAAGAAGAACAGACCTAAACAGACAAATGAGATCAGAACAATACAGAAGAAGATGAGAAAGGAACAGATGTGAACAGCAGGGGAAAAAATCTCAGCTGTATCTGCCTTGATAGGAGCCAGCGCTGTTATTGGAAGATATTGGAAAACTTTTAGTGCTCAGTCTGTTGTATTTTTCCACAGATGAGAAAGGGTGAGATGCTGCAGAACCTCTTTCTTTCTGTAACCCCCCCTTTGGTGCTGTACTCAGACATAACTCAGGACAGATGTCAACAATTACATCTCCCCATCCCTCAGTCCGTTCCCACAAAAATTGCCTCAGTCTCTGCAGCGACCACAATACAATTGAATGCATTTCTTTTGCTCTGGCTCCGCTGCTTTTGCCCTCTCAGCATTTCTGTGTTTTCACGAGCGTTATCATCATTAAGGGCTGCTTCCTCTAACCCAGGGTCAGAGCCCATTTCCCATATCCCTGTGCCAACAACAGTCAGCTGCAGAAATTATTATCAGGATGCAAAGTTCTAAAAAAATTCTGCATAGGAATCATAAAAAAAAACAAGCTCCACACAAATTTGAAAGATGAATATAAACAAAAATAATTGCTATGTATTATTAACTCATAGATAGAAAAAGATCTCCTTAACTTTAATTATAAGTCACAACTGTCTAACATTATTAACTGTTTTAACTGAGTGCATTTATTGGCGATATACATGTTCCAAGTGTACAATATCTATGCCTTTATGGAGTATTCATCCAGTTTTAATCCAGTTTATATTTATCCAACTTTAATCGTTTAATGCGCATTTAAAACTTTATGTGGTTTTAGTCCTGCATTCTGCATGTTTTCCTCACCTCTGGATTGAATTGTCGCTCCGTCGCTCCCTGCGCGCTCAGCTCCCACACCACCGCCAGCAGCAGCAGCCGGGCTACCGATTTCAGCTTAGGTGCCATCAGTCAATTCTCAAAAAACTTAACAAACGAAGAAGATGTCCTCGGGAAGGTTGCACGATTCTCTCTCTCTCTCTCTCTCTCTCTTTTGTCAGAACATTATCTGTGTGGGGGAGGGAAGCATCCCATGCGCAAAACTTTGGACTTCGCGCAAAACACACAAAAACTGTTTCCCTGTGGTTGCCAGGACGATTTAAACTATTAGACGTGTGTCTCCAACATGTACATTCTTCTCGTGTTTTGGTGAATTGGCAAGATTACAATAGGACGTTACTTGAAAAGAGAACTGTGTAAAGGGGCTCTGGAGCCGCAAGCGGTGCGTACTTTATGTCCAAATTCAGCTTGCGGTCTGCTCCCGATGTTGCAGCCGACTTTGATGGAACCGTCCTTACTCCTCCTGTCCTATCTTTCTTGTCGGTTTATTTTGACCCCCTCTCTCCTCTGCAGACGTGGTAGTTGATAGCCTACTTTAGTTGGAAAGTAAACCACCCCCCTCCGAAATAAGCCCGCCCCTTCAGAATCAACCGGATGACCCATCGGACTTGGCACGGCTCCTCACTGGGACTAAAGCGTTAATGCGCCCTAAACTGTAGGAACCTTGTTGTTTGCAGAAGCGAGCAGCTCAAGCTATTCCAAATAAGGACAAAATGCAAAAGTTTATCTGGGAATGTATTCAAGATTTTAGTTATTTTAGTGTGATCTGTCAGTACAGTCATCTAATTCGCTTCCATATATGTGATAATAACCGATCATCTATATCTGCCATCTGCCATCTCTTCAGCCAAAATCAGCCTTTTCCCTAAAACCTCGTTTCAAGCCGAAGATGGTAGACTATTATGTTGCTGCTTTTTAAGTCTTCTGATCTTTAACATATTAATTTTCGCAGATTTTTATAAAGGGTGTTCAAAAAGTGCTCAAATGCACTGTAAACATCATATAATAATTTAGCTACACGAAGCAGCAAACTGTGCTAAAAAAGGGGGGGAATTGCGCCCTCCAGTGCGCTACTTGTACACATCCAAATGTGTGCCTTTTGTCTTGCATGCTTTTCTCATTTCTTTTTCTTTGTCCTCTGTGAGTGTTGCATTTGTTTCCTTTCATAACTGCAGTCTTGTTTAGTGTGCATGTGTTAAATTCCTCTGTTTTTTCTTGCCGTTCATATAAGATACAATAATTAAACAGGAGCACTCAGACGGATTAAGGGCTTTACTAAAACGTTGATGTTTTAGGCTGATGTCAGCACTGGTAATATGGAAATCCCCAATAATGCCATCTGTATTGTTTCACAGATCATTTGTGCTGATGTCAGTATTTTTAATATAAATCGCATATAAATCATTTTGTGTCATTGTAAAACGTGTAACATTGTGCTGTTTTAAAGAGCTCAAACAAAGAAAGTGCTTGTAGTTAATATATTGCTTTAAAGTTTGGAAATGATCCTATGGAAACTGAAGTGTTTTCCTAATTCATGTGACCCTGACCTTTGACCTATGACCATGAAGCATTACATACTAAAATGGTGTATTTTGTTATCTTTTTCCTCATGACTGACGCAGAACTGGCTGAAATCTTTGGCTTCTAAAAGCTGTAAAGACCTGAAATTTTATGATATAGTGCATGAAACATTATGGCGTCACTGTGACGTTGTAGGAATTGCAGAAATATAAAGTGTGTTGTACAGCTCAATCCATGCTCTTTCATATCGTATATTACTCAATATGGATTCTTGAAATTTATTTTCAAGGTTAACTTTGACCTTGGGTGCTAGAAATGAAGGTGAAGGTCAAATGCTTAGCCAACCTAGGTTCTCATGTCCCCCATGGCCTAGTATATTGTTGTGAAGTTTGAAGATGATCCATAAAAAAGTTGTGTTTTATAGAGTTTTTACTGATTTTCAACATTTAATGTGAAGTTGACTTTGACTCAGTTTTCCCCTAAATTAAATCAGCTGGAGATTTTATTGATCTCTAGCATCATACAAAGTCTGAAAATAACATGTTGAAGACTGTGGATGCTAGAGTGCTAACAAACAGACAAACTGAACCGACTACATACTCCCTCCCTTTGGGGGAAGAACAAGACTGAACAATATATATTTTTTCCCAAATTAGTTTTTAATGTGGAGATACTGAAATAACAGCGTACAACAAACAGACATAGATTTCTTATAGATTCTATACACAAACTTAAAGTTTTAGTAACTTTAGCAACTGAAAGGGTTTTACAGATAGTACTTTTGGACCAAACGACAATCATAATACTCACAAAGCTGAAGGGCAAGGGTCACACAAAGGATCGCGCCCTCACTGGGCTCACAAAAACTGCAGGTGTGCTTCTGGTTTGACAGGACAAGGTAGTGAAAAGGAAATCACAGCAGGAGCAAGTAGTTTTAAGAGCCACAGGACGGGGACAAAAGACTCCATATACACCCCCCTCCCCCCAGTAACACATTCATATTGTTCACCTTGTTGACTTTTACAAAGCAAGATGTAGTTTTAGATCCAATAATTTGTTTACTCATCCCTATCAGCAAAAGAATTCTCTTCATATGAAACACACATGGGTTTGCTGTAGTATTTTCCAAAATATTTTCTTTTGGTTGGCTCGAGTCTCCTTTGGTGTCAGATGGATGAGATTTGGTACATGCCACAACAGAACAAAAGTGTCTACATGTTTACAACACTACCAAAAATGGTTTAAACTGGTTATTGTAGCTTCATTTCCTATGACTCAAAGCCAGTAATATCAGATTTATCTATCTGAGCCTGTTGGAATGTTTAAACGTAATATGAATTATGACCCATTCTCTTTTTTAATAACCAAACATTTCAAATTTTACTCTGTTAAGAACGTCAGACAGACAATGGTAGTTTCACTTTTTAACGAATCCAGCTATAACTGGGCTAATTTTGTTACTTTGAATACACACTTTTTTTATTTGCACTACAGCTGTCTCTTTTTTAATACAACAGGACCAAGCTGATTGACTCACAACTTTAAATATACAAACATATTATTCTGACTATCATTGACAGGCAACCTGAAATGTGTTAAGGAAGCAGTACTAATGATAAGCCCGTACAGTTACACCAAGACGTAAACAACAATCAAAAACACCGTAACATTTACCAGCCAGTTACGGCTATGCGAGTTATGACCCTTCGCTGGACTCTTCCCCAGCTTCCTCGTGGGCTCTTGGATCCATCTGTGACAATACAGGAGATTTCGATGATTCATTTTCTCCTCGGCCTGCAGTGGTTGGGTCATCAGTTGGCTCAGCGCTGGTGTTGAGGAATGCTTGATACTGGTTCCAGAAGCCTGCTGAGCTCCTAGTGGCTGGAATGTTTGAGGAAGTCATAGATGTAGAAGAAGGAAGTTGGTCAGTGGAGGAACGGCGACTCCGGGCTGACGGACGTGATGTTTTGGATACCACGCCGTGATGCTTCATGTGCCCCTAAAAATGAATAGATTTGAAAGATTTTTATTTATAATCATCATCTTGTAAAGACAAATCTTAATAGAATTTGGGTAGGCTAAAATTGCACAGCAGAGGTAATTTTAGAGTCCAGCTTAATTCAATTCAGTTTAATTCAATTTATTTAGTGCCAAATCACAACACCAGTCACCTCAGTGTGCTTTACATTGTACAGTAAAGCACTTGGTGACAGTGGGAATGAAAAACTCTCTTTTGTGTAGGACAAAATGCTCTGTTCAACACAATAATTGTGCAAACATAACTACACATCTTATTGATATAAATGATGGAACTTGTTCCTTACCTTCAGCCCACTGCGACTGGCGTACTCTTTTCCACACTCAGCACAGCAGTAGGTCTTCTTCTCAGGACGAGACATCGGAGACGGGAGGGTTGGAGCAAGGTTGATGGGGCCAGAAGCATCCAGTATTGAACTTGAGCCGAATCCACTTATGCCATCTGCCCGTTCTTCCCTCCCATATGAACTAAAATGAAAGCTTTGACGTGTCTCTCTTACAAAAGTGGCTGTTTTCTGGGGTTCGCCTCTTACTTCAGCTCCAGTGTTGTCTGTATCCTCCAAAGCTGACGTCAGCTTGGGTTCTCCTTCTGGCACAGTTGCTTGGTCTTGCTTTGGTGTTGTGGGTGGAGATGAGAGCTCTTTATCTTTATTTATGGGCTCTGGTGATTGGGGCCTTGGAGAGACTGGGTCTGATTCCAAGGTTGTTGTTGTATTACCGTCACAAAGATTGGGGTTAGAGGTGGTGCTGGGACAGGTGTAGGAAAAGGGATCATCGAGAGCAGGTGTGCTTTGCAAGTCCTCTACGTTTGATTTAGAGCCAAGGAAGGCATCGGAAGAGGTAGATACTTCATCCTCTCCACAGTCCATCTCAGTAGCAGTAGGTGATTCTGTGGTTTTGGTAACACTGGAAGTAAATGGTGAAGGGGTAGATTTTGGAAGATTGAAACCAACAGTGGCTTGTGGAACTTGGTTGTCTTCGCCAGTTGGTGAAGCTTGATCTGTCTGCTGGGATGCAGGCAAAGGGACACTGACAGTAAGCACAGGGGGGTCTGCACTGCCTGGTGGTGAAGTCTGTGTGGTGGGATTCATAAAGGGGTCAGGGCTTAGGTCAGAGGGGGGAATGTGGTCTGGGCTGGAGGGTGCAGACTTGCCTGGATTTTGAGTGAACTCAGCTGATTTCATACTGTCAGAGGCAGGGACAGAGGCAACTGTTGCAGTATTAACTTGTTGAGTTGGAACCATGCTCTTTGAATGGCCTGCGAGGGGAGGTGTATTACTTGAAGTAGCATTTGGGTCAGTGCACTGGGACTGAGATTGTACCAAGGATATGGCTTTAGATTCAGCTGGCATCTCATGTGCAGAATCCTCTGTGCCATCTGGAGGCAATTGTCCACCAAGGTGCATACGGATGTGGTGCTGAAGCACGAGAGCATTAGTGAACTTACGTTGGCACAGTGGGCAAGAGTTCTGTACACGTGCATTGGGGGGCCGGGCATGATGGGTGGCAATATGGGATCGCAGACTGCCTTTGGTAGAGAAGGATCGTCCACATATCTTACATGGAAAAGGACGTTCTCCGAGGTGTGTGGCCTGGTGCAGCCGCAATGCTCTGGGGCAGCTCAGCACTCGTAGACACACCCCACACTGATTGGATGTAAGGTTACCAGCTGGATCTGTAATCAGTGATGGTAACATGCCTCCTGCCATGGCACTTGCTCCATTGGCACCCATGCCTAGGGCAGCTACCATTTCGCGAGTGAAGTTTGAAACCGAAGTAGTAACAAGGCTAGAAGACAGTGGAGATGCCATGACATATGTGGTAGAATTGCTGGCATTTGTGAAACTACTGTTTGCTGAAGTTGCTAAAGAGGTAGTGGTACTGCCAGATAACATTTCCATCACAGAATTGGAAGTATTGGAAGAACTCCATGGAGAAGAGGAAGGTCGAGGGGCCTTCTCTAGCTTCTCGACCAGCCTTTGCAGCTTAGAGGTTTCCGATGTAGGAGTGGGGACTATGGAGGAAGGCAGGGAAGATGCATTGGTAGTTGTGGGTGGACCTGTGACTTTAGGAAAAGAAGAGAAGGGAAAGGAAAGCTGGGAATGGCTTGAAGAAGCATGTTGGTGGGAGCCTGGAGCAGAAGGTAGAGGGGTGCGGAGCAAGCCCAAAGCTGGATGGTTGTAGAGGGATGAGTGTGCAGCTGGGGTAGAAGAAGGTGTGGAGACAGTTGGGAAAAGAAGCTTAGGTAGGTGGGCTAGCTGGGAATAGGCAGCAGGGGAAAGCACTGGGGCATGGGGAGGAGTGTTTTCATCAAAGTGATGCTGCTTGGCACCCTTGAATAATCCTGTGATGGCAGAAGATGAGGACAAGGAAGGGTTTGAGAGAAGGGAGGTTGCGAGAGATGAGGTGGAGGAAGACGATGAGGAGGATGAGTTGGATGAGCCAGTTGTGATAGATGCTGCAGCAGCTACCACTGCAGCTCTGTTAAATTGCAGGAGAGAGTGGGAAATCAACGCTAGATCAACACTCGGGGGCAGGGGTAGGGAAGATGGGGTCGACCCTCCAGAAGCCCCTAGTGGTAGCCCAGTACTAGAACCACTGATTTCCAAACTGTCTCCAGATGTTTCATCCTCAGCCCTATTTTTTCGCTTCTTCTGTATCGTATTCATGGCACTAGTACTGCTACCGCTGCTCATGTTTTGTCCCATATCCGATCCCGCAGTAGTCCCTAATGCAATCCCAAACAAAGACGGTGGCAGAAGTGACAGCGAAAGCTCGGGGTTTTGTTCTCTGTGCCGTAGGAAATGAACTTTGAGGTTACCTCGTGTAGTGAAGCGGCTGAGGCAAACTGGGCACTGGTAGGGTCGTTCCCCCGTGTGTGAGCGGAGATGTATCTGCAGGGCTGAATCACTGCTGAACATTTTTCCACAAAAGCGACAGGCATGCTGGAGACGGCCGACAGTGTTGTTGGAACTGGATGCAGAAGAAGATTCTCCTCCATTAGAAGCAGATTGCAGAGCATGTTGTGAGTTTGGGACTATAGGTACTGATGTGGGGAGGGGTGTGTTAAGGAAGGAGAGACCACTGTGCCCGCTCACTGAAGTAGTATTTGGAGACTTCTCATGAAGATACCGACTGGGTAGAGCTAATGACAGTGCTAGCGGATAGGTGGAGGAAGCCACTGTGGTGGCAACAGAGGAAGAATTCAAGGGAGCTGATGAGCGAGAGCTCACCCTTGTGAGACCATGAGCACCAGCTGCCCCACCTGTTTCCTCCATCTGCACCTTGTTAGGCTGCAGGATTTGAGACAAGGAGGTGCATTGCTGTGTGGGCTTGTTGACTGCTTGGGAGGGAAGCAGGGAGGAGAAACATGCTAGAAGAGGAGCCATAGAGGTGGAAGGCTGAGATGCAGTTGGCTGGGTTATTGGACTAGATGCCCTTTTACTGCCTTCCAGGCAGAGCTGAGGTACAGAAGGGAGAAGATGTTGGGCAGGTGTGTCTATGCTATAGGAGGCTCCACCAAGGCGCAGGACCTGTCTACAGATCTCCTCTGTTATCTGCATCTGGTGAATTTGTCTTTGCTGCAACACCCGAAGCTCCTCCAGGATCAAAGCTATGCTCAGCTGGGTCCTAGAAGGTGCACCCGAAGCAGATGACACTCCAGGGCTTGGGGTAGGTGTAACAGGACTCGGAGGGCCTTCGGGCACACGACTGGGGCTTCCAGGGTGTGGTGGAGGACATAGAGAAGCAGAGGATGAGGAGGAGGAAGAAGAGGTTGTGGTGGTGGCTGATAGTCCCAGCTTGGGAGAGGCCATTTGTGAGCTTCTGGGAGGGTAGGTAACAGCACTTACGAAAGCTGCGGAATTGCTGGCAAACAATTTGAAGCCAGGTGAGAATTGTATGTGGGATGTGAGAGGGGAGTAAGGGAAGTCTGATGAAAGGGAGGGCTGTAGGTCTTTGAGAGGCTGCTGGTGGGGCTTTATCGGTGAACAAGGTAGGGATTGACCCTCAGTAAGTTGAGAGGCGATCTGAGAGCCCTTGAGAGATGAACAGAGCGTATGGGGCAGCTGGGAGCTTTGAGGAGAAGACAAAGAGCACAAAGTAGAATCCGTGATAAATGAAAAGAAGTGTGACTTCAGTGCCGAGGTGTCATCTGCAGGTATTGAAAAAAAGGAAAAGAAATTTAGGTGGCTACTTCACGTGAAGGGTATGAAAAAACAAATGGTCTGTAGGAGGTGAATTTTAGCCTCAGGGGTTAATTTCCAGCCAACTAAACTAAATGTTTTTTCCTGTTCTCTTTGTGCTGCTTCTTTACTGCTGTCTGCACACAGACACACATGCTTGCACACAAACACACACATGCACTCAGAATATACTATTCACCCGCAGAGGAGACCACCTTGTTTCCAGGGAAACACACACAAGACCTCCACTTCCCTAAAATAAAATAAGACGCATCCTAAGGCAATCTTTCATCTATGCCTTTCTTTCTTTCTTTCTTTCTTTCTTTCTTTCTTTCTTTCTTTCTTTCTTTCTTTCTTTCTTTCTTTCTTTCTTTCTTTCTTTCTTTCTTCCTCCATTCAGTCTGTCTTACTGAAGAGCCCATCCCCCACTGGCCCAGTAGGGGTGTCAAGAGTTAGTTCTTAGTCAAGTACTGAACACTTTGCAGGGTATCTGACTGGCTAGTAAAACTGACTTTAAACAGTTGGGGGTCCCATTCCTGATAGGCCAGCCAGAGGAAGAGTTTGTCGTGCAAGCAAAAAAAAAGGCCATGACAGACATGACGACTCAGCAAATATGTTCTGCAAGCAAACTCCGTAACACTTTGTATACTCACGTGCACCCAAATGCATACAGAACTTCCTGCTGTTAGCTCAACAGCTACAATTTTGTGACACAATGGGGTCCCTATTCCTGTAACTGAAGTGGACAAGCGGACACAAATACACACAACTGTGTGTACACACACACACACGCGCACGCCTTCACACACACGTCTTTGTGGGCATGTTCATGCTTCAGTGGCTAGCAACAAAGCTGAATGGGGACAATGGGCTGTTGCAGTTAGAACACCTTATACAGTGCCCCACAAAGTTTCTTTTTCCTTGACCTTCTCGTGCTCACGTCTTTGCTTCAAACCCTAACCCTTTTCATAGCACACGCCTTCAGATTCACCTTGCATTGTTTTTCAGTGATACTGCTTTTGATTTATTGTGTTTTTCTGAAATGTGGGTGGTCTGTGTCTTTGAAACTGGCAGTGTGAGAGGAGTGAAGATACTTGGGTTTAATAGGGCCAAGGAAGCAGCTTAAGGCTTAAACCTGCACAGAAGGAATTAAAGCGTCTGCACTCAAATTATTCCAGCAAGCCATTTTCTTAGCACAATGCTATAACATGCACATTTAACTTTGGTTAAACTTTTAGCGCAAATGAACTCAATTGAAACACTTAAATTGAATTAATAAAAGGCTGATTAAGAGTAAATGATTACATCTCAGTCAACAAAGCTTAAAATATAAACAGTAAAAACATATTTGAAGTCCCAAAGGAGCTAATAGTCATTTTAATTTAAACTGTAAATGTACATCCTAAATAAGCACTACATTTTAGTGTACTTGTGTAAAAGGCACAAAGCGCATACTAAGAAAAGGCTAAGTCTCCTATACTACGGCATCCAATGTGAATATCGTCTTACTTATTATTGATCATTGTTCTATTGATTTATATAGTCTATGTCTCACCATGCTCAAGTTTCCGACAGGCACCCAGGGTCAGGCTCATAAGCTGCTGGGGTCGTTTCTGTTTCCGACGGGACATGCTTCAACAGGATGGGACCGACGCAGGGGCGCATTGGCCAACACACAACTTTTACTCTGTCTCCCCGCGCACTGAAAAAAGCAGGTAACTAAATTACTTAGACAAAAAAAATGAAAGAAAAAAGAATTAAATAAATAAAGACAAACTACAGTATGGTTTCCAAAAATCTGACACCGGGTGATCCGGTTCGATTAGACTTAATAAAGTGGCTCCACGTTGGTGGCATTGTGGAGAAGAGGGGGGGAATACAAGAACCAAAGAGGCATGTGTGACAGTTTCTCTCAACAAGTCTTTCTATTCTGAAAACACGGCGTTGGCCCTCCTTCTCTGGACACACACACACTCGCACACACGCATACACACAGCTCACTTGTTCATCCACTACTTTGCATTCAAATGGCGAGTGAACACCCCATCTTTTGAGCCGAGAGTCCACTGCTTCTGTTCGGCAAACCCTCACACATTTACGCACAAGTTCATCACATTATGAGTCCTCCCCGAGCAGTCGATTGTTAAAACGTAAAAGCTAATAGTGCGCAAGGAAGGAAGAAATCCGTATCCGCTAAAACCTTGTTTCCCGAGACTATAAATCAAACGCATCCTGTCACGGGGCGTGTTGTCGAACACCGACACTTCAAAGTGTGCGTGGGCTGTGTTCCCCCCTCCCGACACCTCCACAAACAGCCTCCTGCGTGAGCTCGGTGAAACAGAGCGCCTGGAATCAGGTGAAATTTGCAACAATGACGTCGAGGGAGCGCAGCTGAGTGAACATCACCCTCTCCGAGCCTCTCCAACACATAAGGCCACTGACTGGAGACACAATGCTCCCTTTTCAAACCTCATCACGGCTGCTTAGCACGTGGAGTTGGAAAAAAACACAGCCATGGTGAGGAGAAAAATACATTTTCCACTTGGGCCCCGTGACAGTCCCCCACCCAAAGAGCATCCACCTTCTTCCCTCTCTTACTGGGGCTTGGGCAGAATAATAATGGAGCCAAAATTCTAAATCAGTAATTAATACGGGTAATAACCATCCACTAATCTGACGTTCTTAACAGCAAGATTATATTGGGAAAAAGGCTTTCTGTCCAAACCAGGCAGTGATTTCGGAATGTTGTAGGGATTAAAAAGGAAATCATTTGGCTAATAACCTACGTGTCATTGTGTAATCGCTGGTGTCTTGTAAAAGAGAATGAAGCCATAACTCTAATAGCAGACAAACAGTCGAAGCGGATAATATCATCCCTTTTAACCTGGTCTCCATCATTCCAACAAGGCCTTCTTATTCTTCTTAATATTAGTATGATTTTCGTGCCATCTCGCCAGTTTGATCGCGTATACAAAGGCTGAACGCGCGCCCGTGTGCGTATGTGAGCACCAGTGTTTGGAAACCAAGCTCAAAATCTGGCCCTGAGATGCGCGTCCCCGCTACTGTACGGCGACCTGTTGCACGCCACGCGCGTTCCTACATCATAACAAGTTATGATTCATAAATATTATGACTTCTCCGGAAAAAAATGCAGTCCCGGATGTGCATTTCCCCCACAGGCCGCGCGTCGCCGACACAAGCCCGTTAAATATAACACAAAGAAAACTTACCATGTTCGAAACGATGAATTTTTGGCAGCGATATTGTGTAATGACAGGAGAGAGAGAGGGAGAGAGAGAGAGAGTGGGGAAGCCGGGGAGCTTGTGTTGGGAAAGATCGGCTCCGTCTCTCAGCCGGGACACTGGCGCAGCATTTTCCTATTCACTGCCAGGGATGCGCAGTCACACAGCCGCATTTTTTTCAATTATTTATCTCCGTAGAAAACCGCGTTCTTTCTCTTATGACAAAAGGGTTATTATGCCTGAGTGTGTTCACCCAGAGTCCAGGGTTAGGAGCGAAAGCAGGACCAGTGCAGATAGCCGTAGCCTGCTCGCTACAAGGGGAGGATTATGTTTTTCCCCCCCTTGGCCGTAGATTACGTGTCGCTCTTCCTCCCCTCTTTGTATTTGTCGGGGCCTGCTCCTGTCCGGCCTGTCTGCGCTAGCTGCGGTACTGTCTGTCTGTCTGCTAAGCTGGCTCGGTGTCTGTCTCCCTGTCTCTTATAATTAATGGCCCTCGCCGCCAGACGGTCCTTAGGGAAACTGTGACCACGGTTACCTCCACATTGGCTCTCAGTGTGCATGTCACATAGGAGTGCAGGCCTGGGAGCGCGCACACCTCTGATGCAGACATGAATCCATGTAGGATTTAAGATTTGCGCGGGTGACAGAGGTTCCCATTGATAAAAATAACAACCACTACTGAGTCATATTATTAACCTCCTAGGACCTGGCACATTTTGGGTTATTTAGACCAAAATACTCAATTTTGCTCTACAGGGGCCTGATATCCACTTACGAGGACATTATACTGTTACTGTTCTATCGAAATTTCAAACGAATATCCTCATATGTGGCTTTCATTTTTCTTAGAAACTAAAATCAGGTAAAAAAAAAAAAAAAAAATCTGGTAATTCTTTGTTTTTACAATCATCGGGTCCCAATCAGCCCAAATATCAAAGAGAAATTAAAAATGCATGCCGTGGAAGAGTTCGGGTCTTAGGAGGATAATGATTTCTTTTTTTTTCTTTTTTAAGGTTAGATATCTCTGTAGATGTAGTCCACAGACTGATGTTGTATTGAATTATCAAAAAAAAGAAAAAGTGAGCAGCCCACTTGAGCCACTCTATCATTATATTTCGTTCATTTTGGAGACAATAATGTGAAAATCAGTAGTAAATGATGATATAAAGAAAAATTCTAGTCTCCTCCAGAGTATTTACAGGCAATTTATCTTTCTTTGGTGACCCCTATGAGAAAATATGAATGATTCCCCGGTCTGTTCATGCACCACTTATATTAATGTTAAACAGTGTAAAAAGCTTCTGCTGAGAGTTTCTTTGTGCATTACAACACTTATTTTGTCAGCTAATGATGTAGTTGTGCCAGCAGCCTCATTTTTTATTTGTATTACTGTCATGATATTGATTATTGTCTTATCTTAACTCATAAGAATGTCTCCCTATAAGCAGACAGGTGCGGTGGTTTGTGTGCTACAGCAATAAAGCCACTAGGTGTCTCTCAAAGACATGTTAAAAAAAGAATACCAGTGCTACGTAATTAGATACTGAACAGTTTACAATATCTTTTTAATCATAACAATTCAATTCAATTCAATTTTATTTATATAGCGCCAAATCACAACAAAAATCACCTCAAGGCGCTTCATAGATACAGAGAAAAACCCAACAATCATATGACCCCCTATGAGCAAGCACTTTGGCGACAGTGGGAAGGAAAAACTCCCTTTTAACAGGAAGAAACCTCCGGCAGAACCAGGCTCAGGGAGGGGCGGCCACCTGCTGCGACCGGTTGGGGTGAGAGAAGGAAGACATTAACTACCAAAGTGGTCAGTACGCATATTTTAAAGGATTGCAAGAAAATCCAACTCAAAACTCTACACACAATACTCCGTAGTAAGAAAGTGAAAGTAACTGGCTTGACATTCTTGCAAATGTATTTAAAACAAAAACAAAACAAAACAGAAACAAACAAACACTCAAAATTGAGTTCAGGTACATCCTGTTTCCACTGATCATCTGTCAGTTTAGTCTACCTGTGGTAAACTCAGTTGATTGGACACATCTATATAAGGTCCTACAGTTGACAGTGCACGTCAGAGCTCAATCTGAACCATGACATCCAAAGAATTGTCTGTGGATCTTCAAGACAGGATTGTATTGAGGCAAAGATTTGGGGAAGGGTAGATCTGCAGCAGGAGGTCCCAGTGAGCACTGTGGCCTCTATCATCTGTAAATGGAAGAAGTTGGGAACCACCAAGACTCTTCATAGAGCTGGCTGCCTGGCCAATCTGAGCAACTGGGGTAGAAGGACCTTAGTTACACCAGCCTCGTGTGTGGAGGAAACCAAGCACTGCTCACTAGATTGAGTGGAGTGCAGGTCAGACCACCAGAGGAATCATTCACATAGCCTATTGATTCTGAGGCATGTCCCCTTTGTGAGAGTAGTAGAAGATTGTGAAATGGTAGGCAAAGAACAGAATTGTGTCTGCTGCCACCACCAAACCTATGACCCCCTATGGCTTCACTTCTGTCAAAGACTTTCTATCTGGCTACAAATAAGCCTGCAAGGCAGATAACAGAGGATGGTGACAACTAGAATCTGGTTTGGTCAAGAAGACATGATCCAGAGTCACGTAGACCAGTGAAAGTATCCAAATGGAAAATGAGATGAGGGTGGATACCAGGATACCAGAAATACTTCTCTGCAGAAATCAGTAGCGCGAAAACCAAACTGGAGGTCAGATCAGTGTGCGCTATTAAAAATTCTGCTTATGATTAAGACAGTTGTGGTCCTGACCTGAATGACATCTGACAGGAGCAGTTTTATGGGAAAGATCAGAACTGCTATGTCTTCTTTTTTTATTAGACACAAGCAGGCATGGCAGGCCATGAAGCTTTCAGGCAGTGCATCTCACGTATTGTAGAGTGTGACGCCTGAGAAAATCCAAAAAAATCCCCCCAAAACATAATTGAGTTACCTGCAGAGTCAAAATCCTACTATTACACCAAGAAATTAACTAAATAGTAAGAGAAATATCCATAAAAGTCCAGTAAGTACAGCTGTGATATGATTTAGGTTTAAGTGACAAAACACAAGCTGAGGATCTGTTGTACAAACTTATAAAGAGGGTCCATTTCTTTCATTGAATTACTCACCTGTGCATCCGTGGTTTATCTTTTTCAATGGAAACATACAAAGCATTTAATAAAAACTTAAATACAAAATGCATATTGGGAATTATGTTATGTGTTATTGTATGCATGTTTAGCTGTGGAGCAGGAATAAATTCTGGAAATCAAACTCAACAAAAGACCATACACGGTAGCTGTTAGTGGTCACAACGGAAGGGCAAAGTGAATATCTGCTGCATTTTCTTTCCTCCACTTGTCTACAGCTAGATATCATGTTGGTATTAAAAACACACACGAGGAGGATTAGATTATTAGTCAGTGTGATATATTATGATATATAATTTCTTCTTGTCTGTAATTGTCTGTACAACCAAATTCCCCCCTGTGGGACAATTAAATGATTATTCTATTCTATCTGTTCTAATGAAGCTCGTTAATGACAGTTCTCTGCTTTGTTGCAACCTCTGGTAGCAAAAGTCCACACCTGTACGGCTTACATTTTATAACAATGACAGTGCTGCACATGCTGCAAATATTTCATTTCTCTAGTTCAACAACTGCAGGCATTCACTGTTCCAGTGTCTTGAATGATACAAAGTTGAAAAATAGAAACATCAAATTTCATTTGCTTCACATTGCCTTGTGTTGCTCACATCACTTCCTGTTATCTAGATTGCATTATACTTTAGATTGTAAAGTGAGCGCAGTACTCAGTGTTAAGGGGAAGATATTTGTTTTTATTGTTGTTAGGGGCCCAATTGAGCACCGTCCTGACACCTTTACATTCATACCACTCTCCAAAAAGAAGGAAAATGGGACAATGGTGGTCTGACTGGACCTTGTAAATACCTACATGTCCTTACTCAAATAAAGGTAAAGAGACAGTGAGTGCTACTATGGTTCAGGGATTATGCTTGACTACTCTAACAACCTCATTCTGATCCTCTTGCCTTGTCATTGAGACTTACGTTAAAAAAGTGAGTTTTGGATGCACCATTTTACTCTTAAGAGTCTAGTGAATAAAGACCCCTTTATGATCCATCCATCCATCCATCCATCCATCCATCCATCCATCCATCCATCCATCCTAACCACTTTTCCAGGGCGCTAAAAATTATCCTACCTGGCAGTGGATGAAAAGGCCCCAATGGGCCACCAGTCTATCACAAGGCTAACCCAATAGATAGACAACCATTCAGGCTCACATTCACACCTACAGCCAGTTTCAAACCACAAAACAGTGAAGGAAAAGTGTTTGCAGCCTGAGAGACACACTATCCATCCCGGCAACCAGCAGAGAACTCAGACTTATTAGAGGAGGTTTAAGGCCTCTGCTGCTCAGAACCTACTACATGCTGGATATCACTGAGGCCAGAATTTGTTTAAACCATGGGTCCAGAGAATAGTCGCAGTTATGGTAGCACCACATGGGCACGAGCATTATCACCCGTCTGATGGTTTTAAGACCCAAAGCATCCTATGACTTTAGGAAACATTACTGATTGAAGAGTCCAGGATATTGTACATTCAAATTACTCATACTGTTAAGTCAGTTAATAAATAACAAAAGAGGTTTTTTTTGTTATTTATTAACTCTTAGCTTCATGCCTAATTCTATGAAGTTACATTGTCATTAAAAAAACAATAACATTTGAATATTTCAGGAGCTAATTGGTGTTTCTTGAATGGATGTGGCAGGTCTTTGAAATTTTGAACCTTTATTATAATGAAAAAAATGGATGTCATCAGCTCTGGTAAGTTCACATTTCTTAGAGGTGTCTATTAAAGCATGAAAATTACAGTAAGACCTCAATACAGGATGCTTCCTCCAAATTTTTA